TATTTTATTTCACTTTTTCCCTTTACAAGCACCATTTTCTTTTTAAGTTTATTTTAACAGCTTACCGTAAGGTTGGCGCAGCATGGCCCATGAGGACCTTGAGACATAAAACAGCAGCAAAACAAATAAATAAATATAAAATCATTATCCCTTCACTATATTAATTTTTATACTATTTCAATCTTTCTTTATAAAGTAACTATTACTCAAACATTTAAATAATAATAATAATAATTTAAGAAATATTTAGTTGACAAAATACAAAAGCAATTATCTTTATCCTCCAGTAATTTTTCTCTATGTTTATTTCATTAATTAACTAGGCTTATAAATAAAAATTAAATTGTTACTGATGCTGCATATACAAAGATATTTCCCCGGAGCTTACTAAATATCAATAAATAAATTAAAGTACTTTAATATATATAAATTTTTTGTAATTTTCTGACAAACTTCTTTTAAAATTTCTTTACTTTAATTCATAAATATTCACATAATGGTTTTTAAATTGATTGAAAGTAATTATTAAGAATTATCCTCTCCCTCTTTCTCTCTAAGAAATTTAATAATAATGCCTTAAGAGAAAATAATATTTAATAACACTTATAAATCATCTTAAATTTATAATAAATAATTTATTTTTTTTTCTTTTTAAGAAATAATAAAGAGTATTTAATAGAAAAATATGGAAGTATATTCCTTTTATTTCTGTAATTGTTTATAAAAAGTAAATCTTTTATTATTCAAGAATATTTTAGAAACTTTATGCATTTTTTTCTTATAAATTTTCAATTGACAAATATAAAAATCATATAACTAATAAACTATAATTATTGTAGAAATTGTTTAATTCTTTTGTATGTTTAACTAAGAGAGTAAAAAAAAACAAGTGTACATTGAAAGAAACTTTAATTATAATATATATCTATCGTAAAAATGATTATACTGTAATTTATTTGCCTCCTGTAACAGGGTTATAAACTTTTGTACCATGGGCATTCACAAAAAATTTTTAGGAAGAGGCAAAGCTTGGCGACAAATAATTATCTCAATAAATTTTTACTTAATTATTTAAATTTTTGGGGTTTTTTCACAAGTAAATTATAGGAAACAATATGGCAACAATACAAAAAGACAAGAAAAGTGTCCCATAGTCGATGGTGCATTGTTTTGTTTTATTTTATACGTCAAAGCGACATGTGAGCGATATGCCGAGGGGATGTCTCACTCTATTAGAAACTGGCTCCTATTTAGATGCTACTAGTGTAAAAAAACACGGAAAACTTCATGTTCGGAAAGCGCGAACCAGGACCAACTACCAGTGTTCAGTAGTTTTTATCCATTCGGTTACTAGTATAACGTTACATATCTCAATCACTGTTATGATATTAATATTTGTAAAATATTTTACTCGATCCCGGGGAGGGCAAGTGCCCCGTTTGCTCCCTCTAGAGAAGCCGTTCTGCCCTTTGAACCATACTGGCTAGGAACAAATAAATAGTATTTGTATACAGTAACTATATATTTTATTTCACTTTTTCCCTTTACAAGCACCATTTTCTTTTTAAGTTTATTTTAACAGCTTACCGTAAGGTTGGCGCAGCATGGCCCATGAGGACCTTGAGACATAAAACAGCAGCAAAACAAATAAATAAATATAAAATCATTATCCCTTCACTATATTAATTTTTATACAGAAATTCTGATTTGAAAATAGGAGTTAAATTATTCCAAAGAACAAATATATTTGATCCCACTTTATTATTTATGGTAATTCTTCTAAATTATTGTATGTCCCATTATACTGTATTAATTCTCATATTCACAATACTAATTCTAAGGCAGAAATTCTAGTGAGAAACAGGAATTTTCATATAATTTTAAACAATTTTTGCAAACATCNATTAAGAATTATCCTCTCCCTCTTTCTCTCTAAGAAATTTAATAATAATGCCTTAAGAGAAAATAAAATTTAATAACACTTATAAATCATCTTAAATTTATAATAAATAATTTAATTTTTTTCTTTTTAAGGAAGAGTATTTAAACGCCATTTTATTGTTTTAAAAATAAATATATTCGTATTATTATTGCTTACAAACACTTTACTCCCTACCTAACACAATTTAATATATTAATTACATTCCATGTTTATATAGATCCTATTTATTTATAAGTAATATTAATTTTTTAAATATATATTTACTTAAAAATTGTAATTATTTGAATATTTAATGACTAAAATATTATATAATTTTAATTAAAAAACCATTTCATTCCTAAGAACTTTAATATATAAAAACTTTATAAGAGCTTTAAAAATGTAAAATTGTTAAAAACTTTCAATTTTTTAAAATAGATTTATTAATATTTTTATTAAGTTAATTATATTTATTTATATTAAATGTCAACTTTAAAATATTAAAAATACTTCATGAAAATATTCAATACTGTAAATTTAATATTTATTATTTTTTTTTATTATTACATTTAATTTGACGATTTATTAAGTATTAATAAACGTGTTTAAAATGTTGATTTTTATTTATTTAATTATGAATTATAATCATTTATAAAATTTTTAAAGTGCTTTTTCGAATTAACTTTGATTCTTATAGGTTTTAAAAATTTCATTTCTTAATTAGACTTAATATTAATATTTAATTCATATTAATTCTATTGTTTTTAAAATAATATTAAAGTATATATTTGCTGAATTTGATAGAAGAAATTGACATTTTCTACTAATTTTTTGAATACTGAGGATAGTTCTTGAGGGTGGTCCAAAAGCCGGTTAACCACCGTAAAGATTACGTTGAAGTCTTATTTTTAACTATAAATTATAATTATGTATACAAACAACATTTTGCAACCGAAATTTATGTCTTATTTTTCGAAAATTGATGCAATTGCTACAATTCTCTATCAATTTAATAGAATACATTGTTCTAAACTCAGTTTGCAATTCATATTCGCAAATGGGATTAGAACTTGAGCTAGATTTATGTATATTATGGTTCCTAAGCAGAAACAGATACTGTGGAGGCCTCCTAAAAAACTATGCCCACTAAAAACAACAACAAATATTTACGATGAGGCCCTATGCTATAGTTTATCTTATTTATAGACTATATAAATTACTACACTGCCTAGAAACACAGTCAACTAACTTTTGGGCCATCCTAGATTATATTTAATTTAATAAAATAATTTAAAACATTCAATAATTTTAAGCATAAATATTATAAGCAGCATATAAAAATATATACGAGATGTTACAATTTTGAAAGGGTGCATATATATTTTTTTATTTAATTTTTCTTCCACGAATTATTGAATAATTTCATTGATTTTCTTTCAACAGCTAATGAAAAATTTTAGCAACTAATGAAAAATCGTTTCTCTCTTAATGATCAGAGAATGAAATTTTATTGATTGTTGTTGCTTTACAATAGCCAAACATTCGTTCTGATATCACATAATTGTCTATGTAAATAATCTATAAAGATAATAGGTAATAAGGGATTTTCTTTTATCTTCTTCCAAAGTTTTTGACTTCAAATATTTGATTATAATCCAACAATTCGCTCGTTGAATTGCTCACTTGTCGAACTTAATTCTGCTATTTTCTTTAATATTTTATAAGGGGATACACACAAGACGTAACATTTTATTATAAATCTACTTAAATTTAATTTTATTTCTTTTATAAATTAAATTGTTAAAGATTTTAAGATTTATTTTAAATAAAAACATGATTATTTGTGAAAGAAATTCGATTTTTTTAATGTTAGATTTATATTTTTAATATTAAGAATATAGAGAATATTATAAGAATATTTTTTAATATTAAATATCGATTTTTATAAACTTGTTAACTGTTTAACTGATTAAAATGGTATTGAAAGAGTTAAATTCGTGATTNATTATTTCACGAATTATTAATCACATTTAGAAAATCAATTTTAATTATATTGTTCAGGAATTATCTATTTTATCAATTAATTAATATTCTACATTAATAAAAACATAGTTTTAAACAATTAAGGTATTTTAAGTCTATATTCTTGTGTAGTGTAAGTGTACACGTGTGTATCAATAGTATACACAGGAGTAAATTTAGAATTGTGACTTTAAGTTATAACATATAAATGGTCTTCCCCTTCACCAAATAATGATAAATTTAAGTTATGATACCCTATATTTTAAGATGCCCTATAGTTTAACTATACATAAGCTAAGCTATAGGGCATCACACTCTTCGCTTGTCTATAAATACAACCCATGTAAAAAGGCAGAGTGAAATGTAAACTTGTTAGGCCCTAAACTGTAGGCCCTTTCTACCCCACCAATAAATAAATAAATAAATAAATTTAAATGCCCAAGGTCCTAAGCTGCAGCTTTTTAAACTTACATATAAATCTATCCTTTTACAAACTTATGAGGCTACTAATATACATATTTTTTACATTAAAATATATAAATAACATGCCAAATATTCCAAAATATTCGTTATTTTCCTAAACATAAAGCCATTTCTAAGAAAATTAATTTTTTATTTTCTAAAATTAACATTAAATATTTATTATCTATAATGTATAGATCATTAAAACAGTATATATACATATATGTTTATATATATTGTATATATAATAGCCAAATTAATTTTATCATTCCTCAAATTCTGTTCCGAGGTAATTCATAAACAAGTGTTAAGCATTAATCAATCAAGAGCTGAATATGCAAGGTTTGTTACATTATGTTAACTACTAGATGTGGAAATATAACATAACTGATGTTAGAAAATGTCATTAATTTGATTACTATACGAATTTAAATTGCTTAAACTAGAATATTTTCTTTAAATATCAAAATTAACATTATAAACATAATTATAACAGGCTATTATTAATAATTGTTAATTTATAGTCATTTAGCTTAATTTATATTAAACGGAAAGGATCTGCGAGTATAAATAAGTTTACTAAATAAATATTTACCGGCTGGAATTATGGAAAAATTGCAAGATTCGTGTTGAATTCCAACATTGTTCTTCGCTTGGCAAATAAGGGAACCGTAATCATCGTCTGTCCTTGGTGTATAAGTAGTCACACTTCTCATTCCTTCTTTTGTAAAAGCGACTATTTCCATCACTCTAGCAGAATTATTGAACATCCAATAGAAAGTAACATCATTTGGATCAGCATCTACTTCGCAAACTACTCGAACAGCCTCATTCAGACTCACTCCATACACAGTTTTCGATGATGAACAAACAGGAGCATCTGAGAATAAATAGAATTTCATTCATCTTAAGTTTCAAAACTTTATTCAAAAAACTTTCCTTTTATCAATTTTTAATGCACGTATCAATCTTGTATTTGGAAGAAAAAAAGAATTTTTTCTACCGACTCTTACTACTATACAAATCAAATTTACTATGAAAAATAAATAAAATCTCAATCATTGTTATTATTATTATTTCACGAATTATTAATCACATTTAGAAAATCAATTTTAATTATATTGTTCAGGAATTATCTATTTTATCAATTAATTAATATTCTACATTAATAAAAACATAGTTTTAAACAATTAAGGTATTTTAAGTCTATATTCTTGTGTAGTGTAAGTGTACACGTGTGTATCAATAGTATACACAGGAGTAAATTTAGAATTGTGACTTTAAGTTATAACATATAAATGGTCTTCCCCTTCACCAAATAATGATAAATTTAAGTTATGATACCCTATATTTTAAGATGCCCTATAGTTTAACTATACATAAGCTAAGCTATAGGGCATCACACTCTTCGCTTGTCTATAAATACAACCCATGTAAAAAGGCAGAGTGAAATGTAAACTTGTTAGGCCCTAAACTGTAGGCCCTTTCTACCCCACCAATAAATAAATAAATAAATAAATTTAAATGCCCAAGGTCCTAAGCTGCAGCTTTTTAAACTTACATATAAATCTATCCTTTTACAAACTTATGAGGCTACTAATATACATATTTTTTACATTAAAATATATAAATAACATGCCAAATATTCCAAAATATTCGTTATTTTCCTAAACATAAAGCCATTTCTAAGAAAATTAATTTTTTATTTTCTAAAATTAACATTAAATATTTATTATCTATAATGTATAGATCATTAAAACAGTATATATACATATATGTTTATATATATTGTATATATAATAGCCAAATTAATTTTATCATTCCTCAAATTCTGTTCCGAGGTAATTCATAAACAAGTGTTAAGCATTAATCAATCAAGAGCTGAATATGCAAGGTTTGTTACATTATGTTAACTACTAGATGTGGAAATATAACATAACTGATGTTAGAAAATGTCATTAATTTGATTACTATACGAATTTAAATTGCTTAAACTAGAATATTTTCTTTAAATATCAAAATTAACATTATAAACATAATTATAACAGGCTATTATTAATAATTGTTAATTTATAGTCATTTAGCTTAATTTATATTAAACGGAAAGGATCTGCGAGTATAAATAAGTTTACTAAATAAATATTTACCGGCTGGAATTATGGAAAAATTGCAAGATTCGTGTTGAATTCCAACATTGTTCTTCGCTTGGCAAATAAGGGAACCGTAATCATCGTCTGTCCTTGGTGTATAAGTAGTCACACTTCTCATTCCTTCTTTTGTAAAAGCGACTATTTCCATCACTCTAGCAGAATTATTGAACATCCAATAGAAAGTAACATCATTTGGATCAGCATCTACTTCGCAAACTACTCGAACAGCCTCATTCAGACTCACTCCATACACAGTTTTCGATGATGAACAAACAGGAGCATCTGAGAATAAATAGAATTTCATTCATCTTAAGTTTCAAAACTTTATTCAAAAAACTTTCCTTTTATCAATTTTTAATGCACGTATCAATCTTGTATTTGGAAGAAAAAAAGAATTTTTTCTACCGACTCTTACTACTATACAAATCAAATTTACTATGAAAAATAAATAAAATCTCAATCATTGTTATTATTATTATTTGTTAGCTTTTAATTAATTTGTAAGTAAATAAATTTATAACTCAGTACTTTAAAAAAATTATATATATATATACATAAAAAAAGGGAGAATTTGTTATAGTGGAAGCGTTGTTGAAAGAAGTCTTTTGTTGAATAGATAGCTGGGCAGCTTATGATATAAAAAAATGTATGAAAAGATCAATATTTTTCAACAAAATCTAGAATATTTGCGATTAGGTTTGTGGTACGTATCGAAAATACATCAGATATACAGTACGATGTTTCTTGCTTTTCTTATGAGAATATCCACAGCAATACTACGAGTAAAAAGAGCATTTAGATATAAAATTCCAGGGAATATTTTCATGTAAATATGCATTTCAAAACACGTAAAATTTTCCATTTACCATTTATATTTATTTTTATCATCATAAACCTACACTAATTACATTTAATTACAATTACTACAATTTGCTACTATTATAATTTTACATTTTTATTTCGTTATTCTATTCAACTTACAACTTAATTAATGTGTGTGAAATGAAAAATAAATTGGCATAATAATGAAGAGATTATATTATTAAGTTGCTTAATGAAAAATATTTTCATATGCTTTCATGACATTTTCTTATTTTATGAGAATGTTTTTTGTTTCGGAGATATTTTTGATGTGATAATTTCAAATTTTAATGTATTTTTTGTAGAGAAAATTGTTTAAAATAGTAAAATTAACTTTAATTTGATTACTCAGTTAATAATGAATGCTGCTTTTAGTACTTAAAAGAGTTACTCATTGAATAGTTTGTGTACAGAATGCTGCTCTATACTATACTATTCAGAATATACTATTGACTATTTTATATTGAAGATGCTGCTCAATACTCTTCTAGTCTATACAATTCTATATAGAATATATCATTGTATATTCTATGCAATTTACAATTTATAAGGAGGTTTGATACGTGATATCTCTCCGGAGCTCCCGATCTACTGGTTAAACAATAATAATAAAATTACGTAAATTAATTAGAAAATATGTTACATTGACATAAATTTTTGAATTTAAATTCATTGCTAGTGGTTTTATAATTAAAGCATAAATATTTTACTGGATTTTTATACCTAAGTATCTTTATCAGAAACTGCTTAAAAATTATTTTAAGCAGTTTCTGATAAAGGAAAATAAAGTATAAATATAATAAAATTTAATTTCTCAACAGTTTAGAAATTTCAAATTTTTAAATTCGTTTTCTTATTTATTTAATTAAATTTAAATTTAAAATAAAAGTAGTCACTTGCTTTGGGTTTATAGAAAAATGTTTTATTATAATGTAAAGGTATAAATTCATTTAATTATAATTTATTTTCTTAATGAAAGCAAACACAATTTAATCAATAAAATAAATAAATATAAATTAGATAATAATGTTATTTAATTAATTTAATACTTTTAGTCTAAATTTTTATTTGAAAAATATCTTTTTAGATGTACTTTATTGTTTTATTAATAAATTGATCAACTTTGAATAAAAATTAATAATAATTATTATTATTTCACGAATTATTAATCACATTTAGAAAATCAATTTTAATTATATTGTTCAGGAATTATCTATTTTATCAATTAATTAATATTCTACATTAATAAAAACATAGTTTTAAACAATTAAGGTATTTTAAGTCTATATTCTTGTGTAGTGTAAGTGTACACGTGTGTATCAATAGTATACACAGGAGTAAATTTAGAATTGTGACTTTAAGTTATAACATATAAATGGTCTTCCCCTTCACCAAATAATGATAAATTTAAGTTATGATACCCTATATTTTAAGATGCCCTATAGTTTAACTATACATAAGCTAAGCTATAGGGCATCACACTCTTCGCTTGTCTATAAATACAACCCATGTAAAAAGGCAGAGTGAAATGTAAACTTGTTAGGCCCTAAACTGTAGGCCCTTTCTACCCCACCAATAAATAAATAAATAAATAAATTTAAATGCCCAAGGTCCTAAGCTGCAGCTTTTTAAACTTACATATAAATCTATCCTTTTACAAACTTATGAGGCTACTAATATACATATTTTTTACATTAAAATATATAAATAACATGCCAAATATTCCAAAATATTCGTTATTTTCCTAAACATAAAGCCATTTCTAAGAAAATTAATTTTTTATTTTCTAAAATTAACATTAAATATTTATTATCTATAATGTATAGATCATTAAAACAGTATATATACATATATGTTTATATATATTGTATATATAATAGCCAAATTAATTTTATCATTCCTCAAATTCTGTTCCGAGGTAATTCATAAACAAGTGTTAAGCATTAATCAATCAAGAGCTGAATATGCAAGGTTTGTTACATTATGTTAACTACTAGATGTGGAAATATAACATAACTGATGTTAGAAAATGTCATTAATTTGATTACTATACGAATTTAAATTGCTTAAACTAGAATATTTTCTTTAAATATCAAAATTAACATTATAAACATAATTATAACAGGCTATTATTAATAATTGTTAATTTATAGTCATTTAGCTTAATTTATATTAAACGGAAAGGATCTGCGAGTATAAATAAGTTTACTAAATAAATATTTACCGGCTGGAATTATGGAAAAATTGCAAGATTCGTGTTGAATTCCAACATTGTTCTTCGCTTGGCAAATAAGGGAACCGTAATCATCGTCTGTCCTTGGTGTATAAGTAGTCACACTTCTCATTCCTTCTTTTGTAAAAGCGACTATTTCCATCACTCTAGCAGAATTATTGAACATCCAATAGAAAGTAACATCATTTGGATCAGCATCTACTTCGCAAACTACTCGAACAGCCTCATTCAGACTCACTCCATACACAGTTTTCGATGATGAACAAACAGGAGCATCTGAGAATAAATAGAATTTCATTCATCTTAAGTTTCAAAACTTTATTCAAAAAACTTTCCTTTTATCAATTTTTAATGCACGTATCAATCTTGTATTTGGAAGAAAAAAAGAATTTTTTCTACCGACTCNTATTTACGTGCAGAGAATTTATTTGCAGAAACGATTTGACTATTTGATGAAAGACAATGATTTTTGATTTGTATAATTATCAAACCATTTGGTAAACAAAAGCCATTGAATGAACTCAATTTATTGCTGGAGGCTAATGCCCTTGTTATCCATTAAGTAAATATTGTCAACGTAATACAAAATGGTGTAATGTATCATCATAGAGAACATAAATATAATTTCCAAATTAAATGATAGAAATTTTTAATACATTAATCATAAAATCCATACCTTTTACATTTGCATCTATTTTTAGTACAATTTTGATTAAAATTCTCATCATCTTTCGTCGATGTTTCTTCGACGTTAACATAAAATCAAATTTGCATTACGTATTTATGATTGATCAGACGTTTAAATTAATTGGATTTTTCCATAATTTGAATTGCTATTTTCGATAAATTACAATTATTTATTTTTTATTTTTTTGTTTCAGAATATGCATCAACTTCTGTCATGGATAAATTGGACTGCAATATATATACGTTTGTTCTCTGATAAAAAATAATGTAAATGAAGAAATACGTCATTTTGATTAATTAAATAATATATTTTATTTTCCATATTTTAATATTTTTAAAATATATAAGAGATTACACCCTTTCTTTAGTATTTCACTATATTCATTTCGTTCTTGTGGTTACCATAACATAGAGTAAACAAGAATTGGCCGTAGTTAATGGTAATTTTTAAATCATAGATAAAGTACATTGAGATTTCAGCACAGATATTTTGAATTACAATGAAGTGGTTTTTCTTTAAATTCACAACTCTATATATAATTATTTTGTTTAAGTACAGGATATGTAGGATATTACTATTGCAGATAGAAGAGTATTAAAATGGAAACAGAACTTTCAGTTATTTATAAATAAAATATTTATTAATAATTATTTTTATATAAAATTTGTTAGGCACACGAATTTACAACTATGGATTATGCATCATCATTATCTTCAATGCAATTATGGATTAAAAAACAATTTAATCCATAAGTATACTGATGATGGTGAAAGTATACATGCTTTTTACACTAAATAAATGATTGAAAGCGTAAATAGTGAATAAAATTCATTAAAAGTGAAATGAATCTTTGTTTTTCTTTATAAAAACATAATTTTTTTTCAAAATATTGTAAAAAATATTTTTTTGTGTTAAGGCGCGTGTATAAATTTAAACCACAATAATTTAATTTATACGAATTTGAAAGAAAAATTTATCAAAAATTGCAATTATTAATTTTAAAACATTTTATTTATACATGAACATTAACAATATAACAAATCTATTTTAGTTAATCCTATTGAGAATTACAGATTAACGGAACTTTCATCAGATATTATTCTAAATATCTCAACAACGACAAAATCAATACAACTCACACCACTCGAAAATTCAAACTACCTTCCATAAATAATGAAAATTCTAAAAATAACAACAATAATAATATAAATCGAATAAAATTTTATATAAATTTTGATTATTTTTCATGGTAATAATTAATTTTAATTTGATATTTTACAAAGAGCATTCTACATTATAAGAAATATGTCTTTAACTTCTTTTTTTTTAAATTTAAACCATTCTAAATTGAGAAACGAAATTAAAATAATTCAAAAATTATTTATAATTTTATTTCTGTAATTTAGAATATTTAAAAATTAAAAAATATGAGATTAAAAACCCATTTTTTTCATTGCGAACTTAATATACATTTAATGTTCCTTACTCTGTTCTTTGTAAAATATCATGTAAAAATATCATAAAAATCAATTAATACCATAAAAAATATTAATATACAAATAAATTTTTAATGATATTTGATTTCAATATAGCCTATATTACGAAGAACATTCATAAATTACGTAACAGATATTGTTGGGTGATTATTGTAGGTAATCATTACGATACGTTACAATGAGGTGGAACGTTTATAAAAACGTTATTACGGGTAAGAGAATAATTCATTTGTGTTTCTGAAGTGTTACCTAGCGAACTGTACTATTTAAGTCCGCTTTCTACGTTATACACGTAATTAATAAAATAATACAACGTTCACTATCCCCGTGTTGCATATAACTCCTTATTACAATTAAGGGAGTTGATCCAGGATAACGTTACATAATTGTGTGAGTAATATATGCTGCTGCATTATTGAATATTACAGAGGGAAGTATAGTAGTTGAAAAATATAAAAATAGTGTTACGTAATTTGTGAATGGAGCTGTAAACGCATAGTAAATTTTATAATGTAAGAAATGAGGTTTAATTTCTAAATGTTGATATATTTCAATTTTAACAATAAAATTATATTTCACAATAAGAGCTGATTTTAATGTTATATATTACGAAGAACACAGTATGAAGCATTAAATGAATGTCAATGTCTAAAACATAGGGAATGGGCTTTTCATCTTTTTTTTTTTTTTTTTAATTTTGACACATTCTAAATTGTCAAAAATTTGAAATTTCTCATTTGTTATCTCTAAATTCTAAAAAATAATAAAAAATGCAATTTTTATACTGGAATTCATATTACTGAAAATATTTAAAAATGCCGAAATGTTTAAAATAAAAATGTCATTCTGTCAAAATCATTTTCAAATACAGAAACTAAACAATTTTTTATCTTCTTCTTCTTCTTATTATTATTACATTTTCTTACAATAATAATAATAATTTATAATAAAATTGTTAATTAAAAGTGAAAATTTTATTTCATTAAAAGTTCATATTTTTAAAAAAAAGTGTACAGTTTTATAAAATAAATAAATATACATATACTGTATATTTCCTTATTAAATTTAAAAAATAATAATATCAGTTTTATTTTTATGAATTTTATTAAGTTTTCATTCAATTAAAATGATACACGTCCTTTAAAATTTTCTTTTTTAAATCTCAAATATGATTCAAACATTGAAAAGTTTCCTTTATTTTATTTATTTATAAATATTAATAAAAATATTGACATTTATTAAAAAGATAATAAGCTAAAGACAATTTTTCAATATTTAATTTAATATACGTAATTTTATTAATTTTAAAGGTTTCATTTACTTAATTTTCGAGAAATCTTACGGATAGACACTCAGACAGGCGGAGGGAAGAGTAAACAAACTGAATATAAAATTTCAATTGTTTAGCTTTTATAGTTTCCAACGAATTTTTGGATAAATAAAACATACAAACGAATAAAATAGGTCAAAACTTCAAGTTTATAGCATTTTTAGTTTTCAAGAAATCTCGTGAACAAATATCAGAAAAATGAATAGGATACAAAATTTCGATTTCATTTCCTCTGATTTTCAATAAATTCTGTGAACAGAAAACCAGACAGCCTTACAAAATTGATACAAAATTTCAAGCTCTCTCTCCCTCTCGATTTGTCAGAGTCTTAAGAATGATAAATCAGTTTTCTGATTTCATTCACATAATCTTAAAATTATTTATGACGGATTTACACACGAGATAAACAAACTACAGCTTAAGGCCTTACATCACAAATTTAGGGCCTCAAAATTTTAAATTTATTATTATTTTCTGGGGGCGGAAAGGGCCTTTTATGTTAGAGTTTAGAACCGTAATCCGTTCTTGCATATAAGCTGAACGAGATGCAGATTAGAGGGTTTCATGCATTTAAATTTATTATTTGGTAATGGGCAACAAGTCTGCACACGGTCATACCTCTAAACTATAATCTTATCATCTAATTTTAATAAATAAATTAGAATTTAATATATGAAAAGAAATTTCAAATGTTAATTACATCTTATTGGTAAGTAGACATCATTGCTATGTCCTCCTCCCTCTTGATTTTTTGCAGAACAGGAATATATTCCTCTATTAGTCCGTTGCACTTTTTCTAAGACCAGGGATTGGTTGCTGATCACAATACCAGCCATAATATCATTGTGCAGTTCACTTCCATTGAAGTACCATTGGATATTATTGATCCACGGATTAGATCGAATATGACATTCCAAGTGGACATCATCACCTTCTTGCAAATGTTTTCTTTGCAGCGTTTTTCCAATCTGTAGAGTAACTTGAGGTCGATCTGTGATAAAATAGCATGTAGTATATATATATATATATGTACTACACTGTAGAAAAATATTGTTAGGATATAGTAGAAAATACAAAAAAGCTATTTTACTCGAATATAAGCAATGAGATTGCCAATGGGTTATGTTCTAGAGGGACAGTGTTTGAAGATTTACCTTTAATATTGAAAAATATATATATTTGAAAATTGTTACGCNACATAAATATTAATTATATAATTAGGAGGAATTAAATATATTTTACAATAACTTTAATAAATTAATATTGTTTTGTATGCTCATAAAGCTGTAAAAAACGCTTCAAAATACATTATTTGTTAACGTTTACTTGTTAATTTTTATCATAGAAAATCCAAGGGATTGTAAGCAAAGGTTGAGCAGAATGCGTAGTGTAAATCGATCGAAGGAGCAAGAGAAGAATAAGGATGAACGGGAATCGATCCCGGATCCTTCTGGAATGATATCAACCAGCTGACCTTAATGTTTATGAACTGTAAGAGTTTTTATTTATTTTTTCATAAAGAATCTTAATTTTTCTTTTATATTTTCCTAATTTATAAACATTATACAAAAGTTGGCATCTGTATATTATTTATTGTAATATTTTGATTTTTTAATTAAAATAAATTACGTATTTTATAAATTATATAGCAGAAAAATAAACGCGCAATGACAACAGTAAATAGAGAATTTTAATTAAATTTATGACTGAATTAATTACTCGTATCTTAAAATTGCTTTAAGGTTTTCTGAATAATTTGTATTGTTAATTACTAAACAACTATATTAAGTAGTGAGTAAGTTGATAAGCAACAAATTACTTACTGCTTTTCATTTTGTTATTATTTTTACTTCAATTAAAATTATTTAATAAGAAAATTTTTTACATTTAAATATTATAATTATTACAAATTTTTAATAATAGAAAATTGATCAAATTTTTTCGAAATTATTACCAAATGATACTAACTTTAGGGAATCTTACAAGTTATTTTATAAACAATAATTTCTTGTAAAATATCGTATTTTTTTAAAGATATTTTACTTTAATAGCAATAAAGTTAATCAATTAATCTTCTTAATTTGCATTTTAATAGTATTGTTTAATATTTATCATCAAGTAAGAGAGAATAGAAAGATTTATAATTAAATAGTTTCGTAATTATTCTTTACAATTAATGCTTTTGTAAATCAAAAATTTACAAAGAATCTTGTAAGAACAATAAATAGTTACAAAAAAATTTTGACAAGATTAATTTACTTCTTTTGTTTGATAATAATTATAAATATATACATTACAAAAGAATATAACATAATTTATACCTTAGTTTTATAAGCGAATAATTAAATATTTTAATAATAAAAAAAATTTATTTTTTAAAATTGTATCGAGATAAAATGATGTATAAAATATTTTTACAAATTTATTTCATTTATTTTTTTTATTGCTATATGAAATAAATATAACTGTAACTAGACATATAAAAATATTTGTATATGTATATTTAAGGATAAATATGAATTTCTAGATATAAATTCGCGAGGAGAAGAAAATTTTAAGAGCCGGATTGATATATCTGTAGCAATATATAGTTTATTTCTTTTTTTTAATTTTTAATTGCTTTATTTTTTGAATAAGTTGGAAACTTTTATTCCTTATATCATCAATGTCAACTATAAAGTTTTATCTTTTAGTATCTGACCATTTTCATCAGATATTTTCTCTTGAGAATTTGGTAAATTCTCAAACCATTATTCGCGAAATGTAACCATCGATCACTCTTTTTCACGCATGCCAAAATTTTTCAGTACAGTAAATAGCACTCTAAAACTCCATTTCACTAAAACATCATATCCTTACCTATCATTACTCGCAGTAACTCGGCCCCAACAATATGCTATTCTCAAATACCTTATGAATATTTCCCTCTTGCAACACCTCCTGGCAACATACTTCTTGTAGAATATTTCCGAATCGATTTCCATTAACCACAGCAACGATACTGGTAGGTGTCATGATAACTTCCGCATCACGTAAACATCACTCACTGAATCACGTCAAGAATTGTTACAAGTAAATGGATGCTTTAGCACAATTTTCGTTGTAAAGGATGAACAATAATTCCTACACCTAAACAAGACGTCATTAATTTCTAATTTATAACACAAGAGAAAAAAATCGCATACTTATTCTTAAAATATTACTTTTTTGTGTGTATTAACTTTCTAAATTTATTAATATATAAAAGTTACTTCGAAAAATGTTTTCTTGAGCTTCTTATACTCAAAAATACAAAATTAAGTTACAAATTTTACATAGTTTAGATGCGAGTTACATTCTTTATATCAGGAAATTCTTCGCATGATTTAATTAAATTTCGAAAATATAGAATGTCGAATAGTTTTATATTATCGATTATTTTTGATAAGGAAAGAGCAATTTTTCATCTTAGTTAAAATATGATTTGTTTGCTCGATTCATTAAATATACTGAACAAATTTTCCTATAACTTTCAATGCAATTTATCTCCAGCATCATAAAACGATTACACTCTTTATAGGAACGAAGACTTTGTAATTACTTTAGATATTTTATTTTTCTGTTTAAAATTTTATAAGATTATTTGTTAAAATTACAGAAATATTCAAAATCGTTTCTTTATATTTTTGATTTCGAATTCAAAATTCTATAATTGAAACGGCATCATTAAAATCATTATGGGAGAATATTTATTTAGATCCAGCCATTGATTGTCCTTTTTCTAAATATAATAAATTCAACTTAAAGATTTAATTTTCTAATTTCGTTTACTCTTCTTCTTTTTTATCCTGGAAGGAAAATGGTCCCAACTTTTACCAAATAACAATCGAAGGTTACATTAACGACAGCTGCATTACGTAAATACTTTTGTAAATAGCCATTCGCTTGTAAAGAAAGAAGATTTCTAATGTAGCGAGAAATGCTGATCAAAGTAATAATGCTCCTTCTATACAGTCTGGAAATAACCTATTCAATGAATTATGCACGATAACTGACATTCTGGTCTCCTTAAAACTATCCTCTACTACAACAAAGGGATGAGATTCATTCTCGCTATCGAAAAATCGGAAAGAAAGAAAAACATTGGTGAATTAAATAGTGAATTTTCTAGGAAACTAAGTAGTGCAGAAATGTTATAAATAACACCAAACTATTGTAGATTCAACACGTTTTTTTTAGATAAATATCTTCAGGTAAGTGCAAAACATATTGTTATTAATACTCTGACAAGATGACAGTTTTTATAACATACCTCTTGAATATCATAGACGTAGAGGTAATGTCTCGCAAAACGATTCGAAACATTAATAACAGATAATAAAAGACTAGTGAATTATTGTTCTCTCTCTCTCACACACACAGACACACACATACACACACACAGAGCTTCGCAGTTCACTGAGTTAAAGAAGTACTACAATGCGTCGTCCTGTTGCTATATATCATCTCCAATTTTTGTACACAGAACACATATAGAAATGCTTTTGCTTTTTATAAAATAATCTCTCTTATAAATCATTTTTAAAAAGTTACTTGCAAAGGAATGCTTACAAATCATTTTTCTATTGCAATGCTTTCAAATGAGAGTATTTTTTATTATTATTATTTTTCCTTTCTTCTTTATTTTCTGATTGTTACCTTTCAAATTTTATTATTTGTCTTCTTTGTGCATACATTAAAAGAAAGTTTGCTTACAGATTTAATTTTGAACTTTGATAATAAAAGACTTAATTTATCGATTGGAATATTGTTTAAAACTGAATTTTTCTTCGCTCCTTTATTTTTTATCTTTTCAGCCTTTTGAATAAATGAATTTTTACATTTTTCTTAAAATATTTTGTAAAATTGTTTGATAAAATATTAATTTATGCAATAAGAACTTTCCACGGGTTATTTTTTTATGTTATTATAAATAAATATTAATTGTTGTGTTTGCTTTATCAACATTTATTTTTTTTTATTGTTGATGATGCGCTTTCAGTTCAAATTCAAAAAATATTAGATTATATTTTGGATTTGAATTGAATTTCGATTTTATTATTTACGTGCAGAGAATTTATTTGCAGAAACGATTTGACTATTTGATGAAAGACAATGATTTTTGATTTGTATAATTATCAAACCATTTGGTAAACAAAAGCCATTGAATGAACTCAATTTATTGCTGGAGGCTAATGCCCTTGTTATCCATTAAGTAAATATTGTCAACGTAATACAAAATGGTGTAATGTATCATCATAGAGAACATAAATATAATTTCCAAATTAAATGATAGAAATTTTTAATACATTAATCATAAAATCCATACCTTTTACATTTGCATCTATTTTTAGTACAATTTTGATTAAAATTCTCATCATCTTTCGTCGATGTTTCTTCGACGTTAACATAAAATCAAATTTGCATTACGTATTTATGATTGATCAGACGTTTAAATTAATTGGATTTTTCCATAATTTGAATTGCTATTTTCGATAAATTACAATTATTTATTTTTTATTTTTTTGTTTCAGAATATGCATCAACTTCTGTCATGGATAAATTGGACTGCAATATATATACGTTTGTTCTCTGATAAAAAATAATGTAAATGAAGAAATACGTCATTTTGATTAATTAAATAATATATTTTATTTTCCATATTTTAATATTTTTAAAATATATAAGAGATTACACCCTTTCTTTAGTATTTCACTATATTCATTTCGTTCTTGTGGTTACCATAACATAGAGTAAACAAGAATTGGCCGTAGTTAATGGTAATTTTTAAATCATAGATAAAGTACATTGAGATTTCAGCACAGATATTTTGAATTACAATGAAGTGGTTTTTCTTTAAATTCACAACTCTATATATAATTATTTTGTTTAAGTACAGGATATGTAGGATATTACTATTGCAGATAGAAGAGTATTAAAATGGAAACAGAACTTTCAGTTATTTATAAATAAAATATTTATTAATAATTATTTTTATATAAAATTTGTTAGGCACACGAATTTACAACTATGGATTATGCATCATCATTATCTTCAATGCAATTATGGATTAAAAAACAATTTAATCCATAAGTATACTGATGATGGTGAAAGTATACATGCTTTTTACACTAAATAAATGATTGAAAGCGTAAATAGTGAATAAAATTCATTAAAAGTGAAATGAATCTTTGTTTTTCTTTATAAAAACATAATTTTTTTTCAAAATATTGTAAAAAATATTTTTTTGTGTTAAGGCGCGTGTATAAATTTAAACCACAATAATTTAATTTATACGAATTTGAAAGAAAAATTTATCAAAAATTGCAATTATTAATTTTAAAACATTTTATTTATACATGAACATTAACAATATAACAAATCTATTTTAGTTAATCCTATTGAGAATTACAGATTAACGGAACTTTCATCAGATATTATTCTAAATATCTCAACAACGACAAAATCAATACAACTCACACCACTCGAAAATTCAAACTACCTTCCATAAATAATGAAAATTCTAAAAATAACAACAATAATAATATAAATCGAATAAAATTTTATATAAATTTTGATTATTTTTCATGGTAATAATTAATTTTAATTTGATATTTTACAAAGAGCATTCTACATTATAAGAAATATGTCTTTAACTTCTTTTTTTTTAAATTTAAACCATTCTAAATTGAGAAACGAAATTAAAATAATTCAAAAATTATTTATAATTTTATTTCTGTAATTTAGAATATTTAAAAATTAAAAAATATGAGATTAAAAACCCATTTTTTTCATTGCGAACTTAATATACATTTAATGTTCCTTACTCTGTTCTTTGTAAAATATCATGTAAAAATATCATAAAAATCAATTAATACCATAAAAAATATTAATATACAAATAAATTTTTAATGATATTTGATTTCAATATAGCCTATATTACGAAGAACATTCATAAATTACGTAACAGATATTGTTGGGTGATTATTGTAGGTAATCATTACGATACGTTACAATGAGGTGGAACGTTTATAAAAACGTTATTACGGGTAAGAGAATAATTCATTTGTGTTTCTGAAGTGTTACCTAGCGAACTGTACTATTTAAGTCCGCTTTCTACGTTATACACGTAATTAATAAAATAATACAACGTTCACTATCCCCGTGTTGCATATAACTCCTTATTACAATTAAGGGAGTTGATCCAGGATAACGTTACATAATTGTGTGAGTAATATATGCTGCTGCATTATTGAATATTACAGAGGGAAGTATAGTAGTTGAAAAATATAAAAATAGTGTTACGTAATTTGTGAATGGAGCTGTAAACGCATAGTAAATTTTATAATGTAAGAAATGAGGTTTAATTTCTAAATGTTGATATATTTCAATTTTAACAATAAAATTATATTTCACAATAAGAGCTGATTTTAATGTTATATATTACGAAGAACACAGTATGAAGCATTAAATGAATGTCAATGTCTAAAACATAGGGAATGGGCTTTTCATCTTTTTTTTTTTTTTTTTAATTTTGACACATTCTAAATTGTCAAAAATTTGAAATTTCTCATTTGTTATCTCTAAATTCTAAAAAATAATAAAAAATGCAATTTTTATACTGGAATTCATATTACTGAAAATATTTAAAAATGCCGAAATGTTTAAAATAAAAATGTCATTCTGTCAAAATCATTTTCAAATACAGAAACTAAACAATTTTTTATCTTCTTCTTCTTCTTATTATTATTACATTTTCTTACAATAATAATAATAATTTATAATAAAATTGTTAATTAAAAGTGAAAATTTTATTTCATTAAAAGTTCATATTTTTAAAAAAAAGTGTACAGTTTTATAAAATAAATAAATATACATATACTGTATATTTCCTTATTAAATTTAAAAAATAATAATATCAGTTTTATTTTTATGAATTTTATTAAGTTTTCATTCAATTAAAATGATACACGTCCTTTAAAATTTTCTTTTTTAAATCTCAAATATGATTCAAACATTGAAAAGTTTCCTTTATTTTATTTATTTATAAATATTAATAAAAATATTGACATTTATTAAAAAGATAATAAGCTAAAGACAATTTTTCAATATTTAATTTAATATACGTAATTTTATTAATTTTAAAGGTTTCATTTACTTAATTTTCGAGAAATCTTACGGATAGACACTCAGACAGGCGGAGGGAAGAGTAAACAAACTGAATATAAAATTTCAATTGTTTAGCTTTTATAGTTTCCAACGAATTTTTGGATAAATAAAACATACAAACGAATAAAATAGGTCAAAACTTCAAGTTTATAGCATTTTTAGTTTTCAAGAAATCTCGTGAACAAATATCAGAAAAATGAATAGGATACAAAATTTCGATTTCATTTCCTCTGATTTTCAATAAATTCTGTGAACAGAAAACCAGACAGCCTTACAAAATTGATACAAAATTTCAAGCTCTCTCTCCCTCTCGATTTGTCAGAGTCTTAAGAATGATAAATCAGTTTTCTGATTTCATTCACATAATCTTAAAATTATTTATGACGGATTTACACACGAGATAAACAAACTACAGCTTAAGGCCTTACATCACAAATTTAGGGCCTCAAAATTTTAAATTTATTATTATTTTCTGGGGGCGGAAAGGGCCTTTTATGTTAGAGTTTAGAACCGTAATCCGTTCTTGCATATAAGCTGAACGAGATGCAGATTAGAGGGTTTCATGCATTTAAATTTATTATTTGGTAATGGGCAACAAGTCTGCACACGGTCATACCTCTAAACTATAATCTTATCATCTAATTTTAATAAATAAATTAGAATTTAATATATGAAAAGAAATTTCAAATGTTAATTACATCTTATTGGTAAGTAGACATCATTGCTATGTCCTCCTCCCTCTTGATTTTTTGCAGAACAGGAATATATTCCTCTATTAGTCCGTTGCACTTTTTCTAAGACCAGGGATTGGTTGCTGATCACAATACCAGCCATAATATCATTGTGCAGTTCACTTCCATTGAAGTACCATTGGATATTATTGATCCACGGATTAGATCGAATATGACATTCCAAGTGGACATCATCACCTTCTTGCAAATGTTTTCTTTGCAGCGTTTTTCCAATCTGTAGAGTAACTTGAGGTCGATCTGTGATAAAATAGCATGTAGTATATATATATATATATGTACTACACTGTAGAAAAATATTGTTAGGATATAGTAGAAAATACAAAAAAGCTATTTTACTCGAATATAAGCAATGAGATTGCCAATGGGTTATGTTCTAGAGGGACAGTGTTTGAAGATTTACCTTTAATATTGAAAAATATATATATTTGAAAATTGTTACGCTATGTAAACTATAAAAAAATGAAAAATATTTTTATAGCTTTCAATTTTTTACTGTTCTATATAAATTTTAAAGTATATATTTTAGTATAGCGTATTTTAATATATATGTAGGCCTGTACATTGCTATATATTTATTATTAAAAATTAAATATATTAATGAATTTTACCATAAATTTGCTGGATAAATATGTAACTTTGAATGTTAAAATTTGTTTAAAAAGTTAGTTATATAATAATAAATGTATCCTGTTATATTAAAATCAATATATATTACTTAATTCAATTTAAGTTATTATTTTAGCACATATTTTATGTTATAACTAATAAATAAACATACGCAAAATTAAAATTGTTGTTTATAAAATAAAAAAATACAATTTCTCTTCCTTATTCTATTAGAATTAACTCAATATATCCAACAAACAAACATCTAAGTATGACGATATTAAATCTCAATTGAATTTAATTTCAAATAAATATGATAAATACGCATTTTTATATATAAAAATATAATTTTAATGCGAATAAAATTCCAAATAAAATTTGCAAGCGAATTAAATGAATATTCTTTTATAATTGCTTATTAAATATAAGCATTAAGTATCCTTCATATGCAACATATCCTTCAAGTAAAACTATCTGTTCACTGAAGGATACGTTTGATATGCTTCATTCCACTTGAAATTAAAAAATATTTTCAGCATTTTTAATCATGGTTAACTGAAATTTAATTAAAATCAGTTATTATTAGTTAGTTAGATATCTTCCCTTATAATGAATTAATTCCTACATGAAATTTTGCTTACCAATTTTACTCAGTATAATCTCGTAAAATTAAACAATGTAAATAATCAATTAAAAATTCTTTTATTATATTTTTATTCTAAATTTAACTAACGTTTATATTAAAAATTTTTAATTATATTATAACCTTTGATCTTATCTTATCAAATCCTATCTGATCTTTCTCCTCGGAAAATTTTATTTAAAATAATTAAATAAATAAAATTACATTTTAATATTCATTTTCTAATATTAAACTTTAAAATTCTACTTTCTAAATTGTAAATTTAATATAATTTTTTTAAATTAAAGAATCTTTGCGTAATTTAGATATACAATTACACACTTTAACACGTTCAAAGCTCCAAAATTTATGTATATTTTACCATTAAATACGAGTATATTCTATTATATTTATATGAAGCAGATTATATAAATTTATATTAAAAATCTCTTATATTCTCTTATATTTTTAAACTGTCAGTTTAATCTCATTTAATGTACAGTACGTATATAAGCATATACTAAGGTTAAATCTAAAGTAAGGAAAATAATTTTGTATCAAAGACCTTATCCTTAAATTAATGTAATAAGTACTAAGCACTTATATTATTATACTATTGTTAAAGTCAGTACAGTAGTATTTCAAATAACTTTATCCTATAATCCTATCGTTTTATTAGATATCGTGTTTTCAATAGAGGAAGGTGGAAAGGATAGATTATTTTTTCTTTTATATTTGTGTAAAGTTGCCTTTTTTTAAACAGTAATCTGGCACATATTAGATACTTACAATGTATCTCTAACTTCCAGCCATCTTCTAAAGCACTGCTAGGGATTAAAGGGTTATAGACACGACAATAGAAATATTTTCCGTCGTCTTCTATAGTGGGCGTGAACACGATTGTACTACTGCTGTCATCGCTAGGAGTCTCAGTTTTTATTTGTTCGCTGCCTTTCCACCAAGCTATCACTACTTTTGGACGGGCTCCACTTGTTACACATGTGTATTCCGTCTCCTTTCCTGCAGACAATGGGCGTTGTTTTGGTTGAACCTCTACAGTGCTCGGTTTCACTAAAACAAAAAGAGTATAAAAGATAATTTAGATGTGTTCGTTTTATTGCCACTCTGAAAAACTAGAAGCGCAACTGTAGTTCTTCCCATCTCGTGCCAAGATGATGAAGATGAAACTGAGAAGGAAAAAAAACGAGAAGGAAAGAAGAGAAGAGAATGATGATGATATGTGAGAAGAAAAGGAAAAAAAGGGTGAAGATGATGATGATAATGATGAAGAACAAAAAGGAGAACAAAAAAGAGTAGGAAACGGAAAACGAGAAAGAAGTAAAGGCGAATGAGAATAATTGAGAGGAGGAAAAGAAGGAAAGGATAAAGAACAAGAAAGATAAGATGAAGTAGAAAAAGGAGAAGAGATACTTTAGCATTTCTACTTTCTCCAAGTCTTTTAATTTACAATTGTATCCGTATTGCAAACCTAATTACATTTTAAAATATTTTATTCATATATACCGTGAAATTTTGCCGAATCAAATGTAAAATTCCCTCTTTTGAAAATTCTAAATAGCAAACGTTATAAATTAATTAAGACAATAAAGTAATTTCACTATTAATTACTTTGTAATTTAAGTAAAAATAACTGAATATTCATCATATAATTTATTAAACAATTCAACATGATATTAAAATTTTGAGTTCATTTATAATTTCTCTACTTAATTAAGACAGTTATAGTAACATTTTAATAAATATTGAATTATTCATTTTCATTGAATATGAAATAGAACTTTACACTAATTCTCTATCAGTAAATGTGATATTAAGGCTTTAGATTGTATCAATTACTATATTGAAAAGTTTTTAATAAAACGTCTGTATGTCGATCTGTTTCTGATAACCCGATCAAATTCTATTTGTCTTCAGATTTTTGGTAGCAGAGTGAAGTTATCATAACCTAAGATTGTGGAGTGATAACCTAGCAATCTTGCACGCTAATGGTTGCAGTAATTGTGCAGCTGCTGCAAATAGAGTTGATATCTAAGTTATGAAAAAATGGGACAGTTGTTTAGAGAAAATGTCTTCCTTTTTAGATATATATATTTTTTATTTTATGATGTCCTCTTTTCTTTAAAATTTATTTTAAACTTCAACAAAATCAACTTATTTTACTTTACAGTTTTTTTATTTTATTTCTTCTGATGTCTCACTTGATTATCTTGTACCCAAGCTGGCGTTACTGATATTAACTTTCAACTTTTATTTATTTTTTTTTATTTCGACATTTACAGAAACACTAAATCAATTTCTTAATTCAAAAATATATAAAGTTTTTTGTTTTCAATTTATTAAATTTGTTAGAAAGAAATACAATACAAAAGACAAAAGTTAATTCTTTTAGTTATTAGTTAATATATACATTATTTAAGTAAGAATTAAGACAATAATTTTATCCAAGTCACTTTTCTACTTACAATTGAGATCTAGTGTGATGTAACTGGAAGCAGAGACAGTTATATTATTATTGATGGCTTGACAAGTAAGAACAACCAACAAATCTTCTCTCCTCAGCTTTTCTATGGTCAGGTCATTTCGAACAATTGTGTCTCCAGAATCGTAAGTGTATGTGTCATCTACTAATAAATAATCCCTCCACCATGTGACAGAAGGTCGAGGTTTGCCTGAAGTGTAAGAATATATGGAAAAATATATAAAAAATTGTTACCAAAAGTAAAAATATTCAATTAATAAATTCATAAATTTCTCTTTTACATTTAATGATGTATTTAATTAATAATTATTTTGCATAATAGTGGTATTTTCAATTATAGTACGCCATAATATTAACTATAATAATAATAAACCTTAACTAATGTATTATAATAATTNTTAAATATAACTGTAACTAGACATATAAAAATATTTGTATATGTATATTTAAGGATAAATATGAATTTCTAGATATAAATTCGCGAGGAGAAGAAAATTTTAAGAGCCGGATTGATATATCTGTAGCAATATATAGTTTATTTCTTTTTTTTAATTTTTAATTGCTTTATTTTTTGAATAAGTTGGAAACTTTTATTCCTTATATCATCAATGTCAACTATAAAGTTTTATCTTTTAGTATCTGACCATTTTCATCAGATATTTTCTCTTGAGAATTTGGTAAATTCTCAAACCATTATTCGCGAAATGTAACCATCGATCACTCTTTTTCACGCATGCCAAAATTTTTCAGTACAGTAAATAGCACTCTAAAACTCCATTTCACTAAAACATCATATCCTTACCTATCATTACTCGCAGTAACTCGGCCCCAACAATATGCTATTCTCAAATACCTTATGAATATTTCCCTCTTGCAACACCTCCTGGCAACATACTTCTTGTAGAATATTTCCGAATCGATTTCCATTAACCACAGCAACGATACTGGTAGGTGTCATGATAACTTCCGCATCACGTAAACATCACTCACTGAATCACGTCAAGAATTGTTACAAGTAAATGGATGCTTTAGCACAATTTTCGTTGTAAAGGATGAACAATAATTCCTACACCTAAACAAGACGTCATTAATTTCTAATTTATAACACAAGAGAAAAAAATCGCATACTTATTCTTAAAATATTACTTTTTTGTGTGTATTAACTTTCTAAATTTATTAATATATAAAAGTTACTTCGAAAAATGTTTTCTTGAGCTTCTTATACTCAAAAATACAAAATTAAGTTACAAATTTTACATAGTTTAGATGCGAGTTACATTCTTTATATCAGGAAATTCTTCGCATGATTTAATTAAATTTCGAAAATATAGAATGTCGAATAGTTTTATATTATCGATTATTTTTGATAAGGAAAGAGCAATTTTTCATCTTAGTTAAAATATGATTTGTTTGCTCGATTCATTAAATATACTGAACAAATTTTCCTATAACTTTCAATGCAATTTATCTCCAGCATCATAAAACGATTACACTCTTTATAGGAACGAAGACTTTGTAATTACTTTAGATATTTTATTTTTCTGTTTAAAATTTTATAAGATTATTTGTTAAAATTACAGAAATATTCAAAATCGTTTCTTTATATTTTTGATTTCGAATTCAAAATTCTATAATTGAAACGGCATCATTAAAATCATTATGGGAGAATATTTATTTAGATCCAGCCATTGATTGTCCTTTTTCTAAATATAATAAATTCAACTTAAAGATTTAATTTTCTAATTTCGTTTACTCTTCTTCTTTTTTATCCTGGAAGGAAAATGGTCCCAACTTTTACCAAATAACAATCGAAGGTTACATTAACGACAGCTGCATTACGTAAATACTTTTGTAAATAGCCATTCGCTTGTAAAGAAAGAAGATTTCTAATGTAGCGAGAAATGCTGATCAAAGTAATAATGGTCCTTCTATACAGTCTGGAAATAACCTATTCAATGAATTATGCACGATAACTGACATTCTGGTCTCCTTAAAACTATCCTCTACTACAACAAAGGGATGAGATTCATTCTCGCTATCGAAAAATCGGAAAGAAAGAAAAACATTGGTGAATTAAATAGTGAATTTTCTAGGAAACTAAGTAGTGCAGAAATGTTATAAATAACACCAAACTATTGTAGATTCAACACGTTTTTTTTAGATAAATATCTTCAGGTAAGTGCAAAACATATTGTTATTAATACTCTGACAAGATGACAGTTTTTATAACATACCTCTTGAATATCATAGACGTAGAGGTAATGTCTCGCAAAACGATTCGAAACATTAATAACAGATAATAAAAGACTAGTGAATTATTGTTCTCTCTCTCTCACACACACAGACACACACATACACACACACAGAGCTTCGCAGTTCACTGAGTTAAAGAAGTACTACAATGCGTCGTCCTGTTGCTATATATCATCTCCAATTTTTGTACACAGAACACATATAGAAATGCTTTTGCTTTTTATAAAATAATCTCTCTTATAAATCATTTTTAAAAAGTTACTTGCAAAGGAATGCTTACAAATCATTTTTCTATTGCAATGCTTTCAAATGAGAGTATTTTTTATTATTATTATTTTTCCTTTCTTCTTTATTTTCTGATTGTTACCTTTCAAATTTTATTATTTGTCTTCTTTGTGCATACATTAAAAGAAAGTTTGCTTACAGATTTAATTTTGAACTTTGATAATAAAAGACTTAATTTATCGATTGGAATATTGTTTAAAACTGAATTTTTCTTCGCTCCTTTATTTTTTATCTTTTCAGCCTTTTGAATAAATGAATTTTTACATTTTTCTTAAAATATTTTGTAAAATTGTTTGATAAAATATTAATTTATGCAATAAGAACTTTCCACGGGTTATTTTTTTATGTTATTATAAATAAATATTAATTGTTGTGTTTGCTTTATCAACATTTATTTTTTTTTATTGTTGATGATGCGCTTTCAGTTCAAATTCAAAAAATATTAGATTATATTTTGGATTTGAATTGAATTTCGATTTTATTATTTACGTGCAGAGAATTTATTTGCAGAAACGATTTGACTATTTGATGAAAGACAATGATTTTTGATTTGTATAATTATCAAACCATTTGGTAAACAAAAGCCATTGAATGAACTCAATTTATTGCTGGAGGCTAATGCCCTTGTTATCCATTAAGTAAATATTGTCAACGTAATACAAAATGGTGTAATGTATCATCATAGAGAACATAAATATAATTTCCAAATTAAATGATAGAAATTTTTAATACATTAATCATAAAATCCATACCTTTTACATTTGCATCTATTTTTAGTACAATTTTGATTAAAATTCTCATCATCTTTCGTCGATGTTTCTTCGACGTTAACATAAAATCAAATTTGCATTACGTATTTATGATTGATCAGACGTTTAAATTAATTGGATTTTTCCATAATTTGAATTGCTATTTTCGATAAATTACAATTATTTATTTTTTATTTTTTTGTTTCAGAATATGCATCAACTTCTGTCATGGATAAATTGGACTGCAATATATATACGTTTGTTCTCTGATAAAAAATAATGTAAATGAAGAAATACGTCATTTTGATTAATTAAATAATATATTTTATTTTCCATATTTTAATATTTTTAAAATATATAAGAGATTACACCCTTTCTTTAGTATTTCACTATATTCATTTCGTTCTTGTGGTTACCATAACATAGAGTAAACAAGAATTGGCCGTAGTTAATGGTAATTTTTAAATCATAGATAAAGTACATTGAGATTTCAGCACAGATATTTTGAATTACAATGAAGTGGTTTTTCTTTAAATTCACAACTCTATATATAATTATTTTGTTTAAGTACAGGATATGTAGGATATTACTATTGCAGATAGAAGAGTATTAAAATGGAAACAGAACTTTCAGTTATTTATAAATAAAATATTTATTAATAATTATTTTNGCCATTCGCTTGTAAAGAAAGAAGATTTCTAATGTAGCGAGAAATGCTGATCAAAGTAATAATGCTCCTTCTATACAGTCTGGAAATAACCTATTCAATGAATTATGCACGATAACTGACATTCTGGTCTCCTTAAAACTATCCTCTACTACAACAAAGGGATGAGATTCATTCTCGCTATCGAAAAATCGGAAAGAAAGAAAAACATTGGTGAATTAAATAGTGAATTTTCTAGGAAACTAAGTAGTGCAGAAATGTTATAAATAACACCAAACTATTGTAGATTCAACACGTTTTTTTTAGATAAATATCTTCAGGTAAGTGCAAAACATATTGTTATTAATACTCTGACAAGATGACAGTTTTTATAACATACCTCTTGAATATCATAGACGTAGAGGTAATGTCTCGCAAAACGATTCGAAACATTAATAACAGATAATAAAAGACTAGTGAATTATTGTTCTCTCTCTCTCACACACACAGACACACACATACACACACACAGAGCTTCGCAGTTCACTGAGTTAAAGAAGTACTACAATGCGTCGTCCTGTTGCTATATATCATCTCCAATTTTTGTACACAGAACACATATAGAAATGCTTTTGCTTTTTATAAAATAATCTCTCTTATAAATCATTTTTAAAAAGTTACTTGCAAAGGAATGCTTACAAATCATTTTTCTATTGCAATGCTTTCAAATGAGAGTATTTTTTATTATTATTATTTTTCCTTTCTTCTTTATTTTCTGATTGTTACCTTTCAAATTTTATTATTTGTCTTCTTTGTGCATACATTAAAAGAAAGTTTGCTTACAGATTTAATTTTGAACTTTGATAATAAAAGACTTAATTTATCGATTGGAATATTGTTTAAAACTGAATTTTTCTTCGCTCCTTTATTTTTTATCTTTTCAGCCTTTTGAATAAATGAATTTTTACATTTTTCTTAAAATATTTTGTAAAATTGTTTGATAAAATATTAATTTATGCAATAAGAACTTTCCACGGGTTATTTTTTTATGTTATTATAAATAAATATTAATTGTTGTGTTTGCTTTATCAACATTTATTTTTTTTTATTGTTGATGATGCGCTTTCAGTTCAAATTCAAAAAATATTAGATTATATTTTGGATTTGAATTGAATTTCGATTTTATTATTTACGTGCAGAGAATTTATTTGCAGAAACGATTTGACTATTTGATGAAAGACAATGATTTTTGATTTG